TATTTTGATGGTCAATGTCACTCAAAATGTCCATCCTAGAATTTTTTTAAACCAAACTTTTCTTTGTTTCAATGGTAGTTTAGGTGGTTTTGTTTTTGTTTTTGTTTTTGTTTTTTTGCTTATAAGAGTTTTTCCAGGAATTACTAGACTTTGTACCAAAAGCCCAAATTTATTAAAATAATCAATATTATTGAATATCCATGCACCAGCATGTGTCGTCAAAACCCAATTTATCCCCTCCAAAATAAAAAACATATTCCTGAAATTAATATAATTAATGACTCTTCTAATTATATAAACAAGCAAAGAAATTTTGAAGTGAAAGGGAGTGACTGGAATGAATATTTTGTTCACCAAAAGGACTGCAATGAATATGATAGTGTATAAGGCTTCATTATATCCTCTTTTTACCTGTCATTTATTTTGAATTTCCACGATGTTGAATCATACCTTATAACAAAGGGGCAAAGGTTCTTCTCACTGATGGAAAAATTATACAACACATGATTTTCTATCTCTTTTATCGCATTTTGTCTCTTTCATCACACCAACTTCTTTTAGAGGACCACTTTTAATTTTTTATAGCTATTTTTGTCCTTATTCAAATGACAAGTCAAGCACGCTGTGTACTATACTTTCAATGCATTAGAAAGTAAATAATCTTCAGTGGCATTTAATTTAGGCAATTTTGTCTGACCACACAAGTGAATGAATGAGTCTTTTTTATTAAAGGAAGAAAAAAAAAAGAATCTTCACATACACGAGCCTTTCATATCCCCTTCATAAGTCAAGATTGTCTGAATTAACTACATAACCATCCATTTAATTCAAATTTATTAAAATAAAAGACCTAAATAGATAAACACTCAGCGTTTGAAGATTTTGGTAATTGTTATTTATAGATGCAAAAAATGTCTAAAATAAATATGAAATTTTTATAGTTAATTTAAACTTTGAGATTGTTAAAAAGGATATTATGACTTGCATCTAAATCCATGAAAAAGAAGATCTAAAAATTTAATAATGATTATTAAACCTCATAAATAATAAGTTAGGGTTGATAGATATCATATATACATGAAATCCCTGTACGTATGAGACTTTGGATACTTTAAGACTATACCATTAAAAATAACAAAAAGAATAGTACAATATGTATGCATGCATGCATGTATGTCTAATTGTTTATCCCAAACACATAACTTTGGGAGGTTTTGTTATCATCAACAAAATCTTTCACAAATTCAATTTTATGTGCACATCTAACACGCCTGCCAGTAAAGCACTAAATGGAGGTTTTGCATATGTAAATAAAAAATTGATCTATGATCGTTGGCGTTTATAATTTAATTAATCTAATTAGGTTTGATCTCACGCCTTAAGGTACATTAGAAGCAATTAATTTAAGTAATCACATATGATGAATGTATTATATAAAATTAATATATATTGTGCAACTTCTACTTTTAGACTCACTCAACATAAATTGTACAATGTAACTTTTAAGTGTTTCCTTGGTAATTATGATATGCTTTACTTTTATTTTTATTAATTATTGTATATGCATTTAATTTCCTCGTGAATTTCTGGAGTCACCAATATACAACACACACACACACACACACAAAATAATTTATAGAAAGCTGTATTTTCAATGTTAATTAACTGGTATTTTTATTTGTGAAATAGGGCATGACTTTGATGCCTACTCACAAGTCAAGCATGGCATTTGCCATATAACCTACAAAAGGATGATAGATATCTAATCCAAGTCTGAAGAATTTTGATATCCAATCAAAGATTTGTTTTTTTATGGCTACTCAGAAGTCTTGAAATATGTAATCACGTTAAATAAATATGATAAAGACGTCCCTAAAGTACATGTGAGGCTGCTGTTAGTAACAACAATCTCACACAACTAGCAAGGTTCAGATAAGTTTGGGCAAAAATTGGTAATACCCTTAGGTTTTTTAGGATATTGAACAATGAAATAAAAATAATAAAATTATTTTGCACTCTAATCTTCACGAATTGATATATTGCAATTCAAACATTACCAGACTTGACCAAAAAAATTAATTTATAGACATTGAAGCTATTTTTTAGTTATTTAATTTGATCGACTTTTAGGCCCCCATCATAAGTCAAGCCTGCCATTCTTTTCTTTGAAATTATATTAAGGGATGATAGATGCACTTCATCTACTGTAATTAAGGCCTACCAGCCTTAACCAACCATTTAATGAAACATTTCAGTGACTGATGTGATCGTCATAGTGACAACCTAATCAATGAGGATAGACCCTATTAATAACAAATAAGTCATTTAATTATAAGTCAAGTTTTGTCATTCTTTACCTCGTAATTAAGAGGCCAGTCTAAAATTTTCAAATTTAGTTATCATATTAATAATAAACATCTAACTATATATGTCAATTTAAATCATGAAATCTCTTGATTATCCCTTTTAAAAGATTAATATTACATTCTTAACTCCACTCTCCAGGTTTACTTGGATATAAAAATAATACTTTCTATGTGAATAGAAATAAGACTACAAGGAATATCCCATTCGAAGTTCTAGTAAAAGTTTAGATATATCGTAAAAATTATGACGTAGTAAAAATTAAAGCTTTTTTTTTTTGGCCAATTTCATTTGTATTTTTCCTCTTTGTTTAGTTGTTAACCTTACAGCCAAAAGCCTACAAGGCCACAACTCTTGAAATCAAAATTTTATTTGCATATCGACCCCAGATATAATTTTTGCACTTTTTATTTCCAGAAAATGAAAAAAATAATTATAAGGCATAATAAAATCTAGTTATGTATTTTGGGAAAACGTGCCTGATGTTTGCTGAATACAAAATAAGAAAATAAGAAAATAAAATCTTAATAACCTCTATTAACTCATTTGATTAATTCTTCTGTTTTAGTTGGATGGAATACTTTTGATAGGAATAGAAATAAGAAAAATAAAGAATACTCATTTGTTATTCAACAAGACATGCTAACCATCAAATTTCTGTTTTGTTGCCAGACATTTCACATGTTACTGAAGGAGTATGAGTGTTTTTAATTTTGCTTTTATCTTTTAAAATGTTTATTTTGTTTTAATAATCTTTATTTATAATTTCAAAAGTTTGTTAGTTTAAGGTCTGCATTATTTTGAAATTATAGGAATGATGATAAACCTGTGAAGATCTTCATTAAATTTTTATTTGTATTCTTAGATGTTAGTAAATTATTGTTAATCGCCAATTAAGAGTTGATTTGGGTATCATAATTGAATTGGGGAGTAATTCATGAATATAGGCCTACAGCTACTCAAGAAAAATACTCATCATCATCTTAATTAATTGTATATTTTTGCTATGTATAGTATTATTGGATATATAGTTTATACTTCACATGAATATACCTACAGCTACTTTGAAAAAATACTTATTCAAGAATTTTGTTTTGACTTTGTGTTCTCATATTCTTGCTCCATTTTGCATGGAAATAGAGACTGATTTTGATGCCTACTGCTCATAAGTCAAGCATGGCATTTACAATACAGCTATAAATGTATGATAGATATCCAATCCAAGTCTTTGAAGACATTTATGGCTACTCACAAGTCTTCCCACTATTGACATTCTTTTGAGGTACCCTCTATATATGGCCTACCAAACCTACAATAAGTGCAACTATATTCATCATAAAAGAACAAATTAAACTTCCTATCACTAACGTGTGTTTTGGGTTGTTCTTGAAGTGATAACGAACCACTTTATGGGACAAAGCTTCTTCTCATCACTAATGTAATTTTCTTTCTCTTTCATTACATCAACTTCTTTTACAAGATAATTTTTATGTAATATTTATTCTTATCTTTACTCAGCTCACAAGTTCAGCACACTGAGCACTTCATCATTCATCCATGTAGAAATAGCATGAGATGGAAATTTTATTTTTATGTTTTTAAAGTATATCATTAATTAAGCGCAATCTAAAATATATTTTATTTTATATTATTTTTTTGCTTATTTGGGACTACATAACAAATAAAAAATATCTGCACTCAACGTGCGTCATATCTCCCCCACCTTTCTTAACAAATTATCGAACCCCATTGGGTTGAACCCAAAGTGCTAACGTGAGGCTAAGTAATTATCAAAAAATATTAAAAAGATTTGTGTTTCTTATAATGGATTTATCTGTTATAATTTTCCCTATATTTCATTCTTAATATGCATTCATTTGATTTTCAAATACGAACAATGTAACTAAAAACACTGCTTCAATGAAAAATAAAACGTTGCAAGTTTTGTGATGGTTTTTATTTATCACTGAGAAAATTTTTCACAAACTTAGTCCTTTGTGCATATCATACTCCCAATAAACGTTGAGCTGAGGCCTCGCTATGACCAAAATATGTCTCACAACTCAAAAAATATTCACAGAGCTATTTAAAAATAAATCACAAAAATAACTTTCATATCTGCAGAAAAATCGAGCTCACACTCCTATAGGATAAATGTTCTTTGCAAACAACCTTTATATACAATTTATGTATTTTATTGTATGTCTATTAAAATATATAAGCTATATGTGCAAGACAAGTAGAGAATTAAATTTAATTTGAAACAAACACAAGTCAATATATAATATAAATGTCAGAACTGAGAAGGTTTAAATACTCAATGCGTGAAGACTCTGGATATTTTTAATTTAGAAGCACCAATTATTCAAGATAGCTGTGATATCCATGTTGGTAAAATTAAACGTGAAAAGGTTAAAATAATATCTTCAACTATTAAAAAAAATATAATTTACCAAACACGCAAATTATAATTAATATTTTTTTAAATTTTTTAATCTTATCATGAGAGATGTCCTTTTAAGTATTTGTCATTGTGTTTGCACGCCTTGACTTGATTTGGAGTTGGAGAAGTATAAAATGATGCGTGATTTCCTGTATACGCAACTTACAATTTTGACGAGTCTGATATGCCCAACATGGGGAAATCTCCTTCCTTTGTTTTACTGATCTTCTCTATCAATTGCTTTATATCCTCCTTAGCTTGGATTAGCACAAGCGCCACTGCTGATAAATCTGCACTTCTTGGCCTTGAATCTCTTATCTCTTCAGATCCATATGATTCCTTATCTACTTGGTCTCTCTCTTCTTCTCCATGCAATTGGGTTGGTGTCACTTGCAATACCAACCATGGAAGGGTCCGTTCCTTGAATCTTGGTGGCATGGATCTTCAAGGCACCATATCTCTGCAATTGGGAAATCTCTCATTTTTAGTTGAACTTGATCTTAGAAGCAACAATTTTTATGGTCAAATACCAAGAGAGTTAGTTCAATTGCATAGATTGAAACTATTGAACTTTAGCTGCAATGACTTTCATGGACAAGTTCCATCATGGATAGGAGATTTATCTACATTGGAGCACTTGGATCTTCGAAATAATAGTTTTGATGGATTAATTCTACTATCTCTATTCAATCTATCAAGGATGGAGACATTAGATTGGAATTTTAATTTAATTGAAGGACCCGTCCCTAATGAGGTAGGAAGACTTGAGCATTTGAAGATTTTATGACTAGCGGTTAACAAGCTTTCAGGAATCATTCCCCAAACAATTTCCAATTTATCATCACTTGAATTATTGAGTATGTCTTATAACACTTTGTCAAGTATGTTTCAGATTATTTTTAATGCCTATATTTAATTTATCTCTAAGCTAGTCTATTTGGTTAGCATGATATATTCCTTTGAAGATCACCTGGCAGAATATAGGTCTGTCTCAACTATTTTATATTCTTTTTTTGTTGGTATTTTTATGCATTTTTACAGTTTTTGTTTTTGTTTTAAATTATCAATTTGTATTCGATAAATCACGTATATGCAACAGAAGCAATAGGATATTTGTTCCTTTATTACAGTGCATTCAAATAAGAGCTAGCATAGGAATAAATAATACATTAATGGCAATAATAGATCTAAATGGCTACCAGTTCTTGAAAATGAATATCTCTTCTATCATTTGAAACATCTTGAGGATTGCTTACAAAATGAATAAATAAAGCTCACAGCACATGGATCGGTAGCGTAACATTCAATTTTAATTTAGACTATCCTGATGGTTAAAAAAAAAAAAACACTGCAAACACAAGTACAAAATGCATACTTTAGAAAATTCTTCCATATACTTTAGATATATATATTATTTATATATATTGACATATTATTTATATTTTGATATTTGAAGGAGGCATTCCAAATGAAATTGGTGATCTTCCACATCTACAGATAATATGTCTTTTAAATAATCAGCTTTCAAGCTCTATGCTAACCTCTCTATTTAATAGTTCAGTTCGACAGTACATTGAACTTGCTAACAATAATTTGCAAGGTAAGAGTTTAAATTATACAACTGTTTTAAACTGTATGTTATTTTGTTTTTTTTTTGTTTTAATCTTTCGAATAAAAATAATTTTAAAATGACGAGTTTCATGTTTGTGATGGGTGTGGGTGTGTGATGTGTATTTGTTTGTTGGTTCACATAATGGTGGTGCCCCAATTAGCAATATGTGAATCACCCATACATTTTTTGGCAATTTGTGAAAAAAATCCCGATGCAATATAAGTAACTACGCATTTGCACTTCAACGAATATCACACACACACACACACACAATACGTGACAAAAAGACAACTAAAATTTATCAAATATTTTGTGATGCACGCAGGTGTGTGGTGTGCTGGTGTGCGTATTTGTTTGTTTGCTCACTTAATGGTAATGGTGGGACCACAATTTGCGTAAAAAATAATCTCCAAATAAACTTTTATCAATTTGTGAAAGGCATTCCCTATGCAATATAAGTAGTTGCACATATTTAAAAGAATTGTCTTTAAAAATATTTTCTAATAAAGGTTATCTTACTTTGATAGAATTTCCATGTTTATAAATTACCTTTCATTTTTCATCCCCCCCTGTGCATTATCTTTTTCATGGAAAGTTTTATTATTATTTTTTTTAAACATACAAATCCATCCATATTTCTCAATGAGTCACACATAAAACGCACAGAGTACGTGACAAGTTGACAACAAATTTATTCTATGGCTATTAGTCTTTCCATTTGTGGGTTGTGGCTTTTTTAAATTAATTGTACTTTTATATTATCATTTAGAGTATGTTAGCAATACTATTTCTCAAAGTCTTAAAACGATGTTATAAAAAATCTAAATGTCTTATGTGACATTCTCTACACAGGAAGCGTATTGTGGCAAAGTAATTTTGATGATACATCCAATTCTCTCATAAAAATATATATGTTTATTCCCTCTCCACTATAGTTACATTATATTCTTTGAAGTCTTAGAAGATTACATGCTGTCAATTAATAGATTTCATAAAGCTTTTATGTTTAATTCAATTATTATATATTATTTTTTATTCTTTTTGCAACACCTATATCTATTTAGTGTTAAAAAGCATTGTGAGAGCTTCTCTCATAAAAATGGAAAAGTCAGATTTATTTTATTTTTTTGGATAAAGATAAAATGTAAGATGTTTAATTAAAATGTTCAAAATCGTCCATTTTTTAATCAAACTCATGAAAATCTCATTTCTACTTCCCTTCGCCAATAATTTTGTGCACAGCATAAGGTATAAATCTGATTAAACTTTTATTTATTTATAAAATAAAAAATATCATAATTAATGTTATAGCAATGGGGGATACGTGGCTACGTGATGACATGCAAACGTAGAAATGGCACATTGAATGGTCCAGGTTCTGGGGTTCAGCAATGAGTAATGAGCATTGTTTAGAAAATATATTAAAAAAATTAAAATAAATATATTTGATGTGATGCTAAATAATAAAACATGAAATTGAAAAAATTGCACGTCATTAATTATTCAAGAGGAAGAAGGAGAAGGAGAAGGAAGAATCCAGCAAGTGATTGCCGTGACAACGCTTGGTGGATGGGTGCCGTTTTTGTCACTTTACAGATCATAACATGTTAGAACTTAGAAGGGTCCAAAGTTACCACTTTCGTACATTCATTATTTAGAATAAGACTACTAATGTTGATTAAATTACGTTGAAATAGTAGGTGCATATGATGATAAATTATCTAATAAATAAAATGATCAAGGGTTCAAATTCTAGTTCTTACCTAGAGAGCAAGTTCATTAGGAATGATCTACTTTTACTTGGGAAAGATTAGTCTATGATACCTATTAAAAAGCATTGGGAGCTTCTGTTAAAAAGCTTTCACTGTCTATTATTATGCATGCTTTTAATGTACCCCTCACATTAATCTATACACGTAGTGCTTATTCTATACTGCCTTCAACAATTTGAACGGAAGATATTTTTATTCTAGAAGCACAAGCTAGTTTGTCTAAGAAATTAAATAAATTAAATATTTTTCTTTTTTTAGGTGAAATTCCTTCATTTCATTGGAGCTTGCCTTCTTTAAGAAAAGGTTGACCTTGGAAGGAATCATTTAAATGGCAATTTGCCAAAATAAATGTGTCATCAACTCTCTTTGCTGGAAATCTTGGCTGTTCATGATAATTATTTAAAGGGAAGCATTCCAAAATCAATAAGTAACTGCACATCTTTGAAAGAATTATATTTGGAGTTCAACCCATTTATAGGTATGCACTTGTGTACATATGTGTGTTTTTCCCAAAGTGATTATGAATAAAATGTGAATTAGCTTCATATTAGAATATTAGATTATTTAATTCCAAAGTGATTATGGATTAAATCACATGTATGATATGAAGAATTATACTTTGGTGCTATTACAGATATGTCCCTATACATATATGTACGTGATTGGGCTATTGGAGTGAATGGGTGCTTGTTTTTCTTCTTAATTTATTGGATATAAATAAATTTGAAATGAGATCATTTTGTTTACACATACACATATTTTGACGAGATACACACTTACGTCTTTTAAGAATGTTTAATTTTGATGATTTGTAGTATCTGCATTATTTGCTTTCACTATAATGACATAATTTGATTGGGATGATAGAAAGGACCACTTGGATTTTGATGCTTCTCTCTTGCCTTTTATTTTTCATTTTCCATGCATTTTCCTTTTGAATGCAATTTTTCTTGTTTTTTCACTAATAAGTTTAATTATATTAATGATATGTCTATATACATGGATGAGTTTTGAATTTTTGTTTCCAATATCCATGCTTTTACCAATATACTAAAACACTCTTTTCTTGTTTTTGTTTTTTAATTTTGTTATCACACTTCATGTTGTCAAATGCATTTTAAATTTGTATGTACTTTGTCAATTGTATAGCAATACAAATATTTAATTTTTAACAAACAAAAAATCTCATATACATAGTAAAAGAAAATAAAATGGTGGATAGTATTATTTACGTATATTGCTTGATGCGACTTCATGAGAAATAACAAAAAATTAATAAATATAACTCCAATTATACCATAACAAGATTGACATTTTACTATGTATCATTACTTATAATCTTATATCAATAATTACTGCATAAAAAGCTTAATTTTTTTTTAAAGTAAATATTCTAACCATAGCATTTCAATGTAAGCCCACATATCCCAAGCCCAATCATTACATCTTCTTGTCCCTTATTATATATGATACCAGAGTTAATAACATTTGATAATTTTTGTAAGAATATGTAAGTTTAATATTAAACTTACATTAAAATACAGAAAAATTTCGAGTTGTGCATTTTCTTATTCACTATATATAAGTTTTATTATATATACCATTAAAAGAATTATATTTCGATGTAGATTTGAATTTGGATGGTAACTCATTTACAAGCATGAACTTAATTATACTTATGTTTCTTTTGTTTAAATCTCTTTTTTGAAATGGAGTATATCTAAAATAGAATTTTTCATTTCATCACTTCATTCATAATTTCATATTGTTTATTAATATTGAAACGGAGCAAATCTAAAATGCCAATATTTTTATTTTTAAATTTTATGCGTCTCCTATTAATTTTACTTTTACACTTTTATTTCTTTAACAGTTTAACTTATTTTTATTTTCAAATTTTTATCTTGCAAATTCATTAAATCATGGGGTTAAAACGAGCATTGCTTAAAATTATTTTTGTTATATTTAACATAATGTTTAAACTTATTCTTAGACATACTAGATTTAATGATATTTGATAATTTTTGTAGGGAAAAATGACAATGAAATCTCCCTGAATTATATAAATAACAATCTGGTCCCTCAAAATGTCATAATTTCAATGAAGTCTGTAAGGACCTCTATGTCAATAAATTTTAAAGCAACAAGATGATCTTACCGTTACTGAAAATAACAAACCCTATTTACAACTTGTTTATGGAATCACGACCTTTTTTTTTTTAAGTTGCAAGAGTTGAACAAACAATCACTTATCAAGTGTAATTTCTATTATTAAAAAATAAGCCTCAATTATAACTTTTGCTCTATGAATTATAAGAATTAAACAAGAAAGTATAATTTGTTAAGTGTAATTTTTATTATTGAAAAACAAGTTCTCAAAATAACAAATCTCATTCACATCTTTTGTTTAAAGATTCACTTTTATTTAAAGAATTGTAAGAATTGAATAAGAAATTACAACTTTTCATTAAAGGTAAAATGATCTTTTTAATTTAAAATTTATTAACAAAGAGATCTTTAAGAGCTTCAGTGAAACTATGGCATTTTGAGATATTAGATTGTCATTTATATAATTTAGAGAGATTTTCTTTTCATTTTCCCATTTTTGCATGATTGAATAAGTTTTATATCAAAATAACATTAAATCACAGACAAGTTTTGAGTTGTATTTTTCTTATTTATTATATATAAACAAAAACATATTTAAATACGTTAAAGAAATAAATTACAAATTATAATAATGAAATTAAAAATAATTAAATGACACCCAAAAATGTGACGTTACATCCTCATTTTTGACATCTTTGTTTTGTAATTAGAAGCAATATGATTTAGCTGAAATGGAATTTGAAATCCAAGAATTAAAATTTGTAAAAAATATCATCGAGTTACAGTTCATTAAGTAAGTTTAGAATTTTTGCTGAACTTTAAAAAAATCATAACTAAATCTAGAGAATTTGTATGAGAATGATCTAAAATTTTATAGTTATGGTTTTACAAATGCCAAACAATACAGTTCATTGCTTTTCTAAACTTGCTCTGTTTCTTGGACAGAATCTGTACCTTAACTGTAAAAATTCATAACTAATTATACAAAACTGACTTTGACATTATTCTTGGCTCATTTTAGGCCTTGACGAGCTCTCTAGATGAGAAAAATAAGGACAGGACTTTAATTGGGCCAACTGATACATTTAATACATTCACTTAAGTTGC